CAACGCAAAACTTAATGGCATCTCTCAGCCTAGTCTTAAGTATTTCTGTTGGGTCTCTCAATAAATGCATATATGGGTCAGTGTCATTTATTAAATTGACTATCATTTATTGTACATAACTTGGCCTACCCATGACCACCACTGCTCCACCTTTATCGGCCTTCATTACGATTATATTACTACCACAGCAATATCTAGAAACCCTACTAAGACGACAATCTTTCTTTGGCGGTAGTATTTGATCAAAATGAAGGATCAGCTCCAGTTAAATACTATTCCTTACCTCTTCGGGCAATATATTACATTAATTAATTAATTCAAAAAGTATTTCCAGAGAATGGTTTAACTCATTTGAAAGAGCAAAATTCTATCTTCTTTCAGATAAAAGTACTACATTATCCTCCAGACGATTATCTTATCCTTCCCCACTTTGCTACAACCATGTACGACTTACCTTAGACACAAAGTTTCTCGGTCTAATTATAATTCCTAAATTACGAGGCTTCTTATCATTTATCCGACGAGTAGTTCTGTCAGTCGCCTCTCCTAACCCGTCAGCCATATCTTGAAACTTAAAGAAATCCACATCACTCATAACTTCAGAAAGGGAATGCCTAAGCCTAGTTTTGGCTCTAATTAATTCGTGTAGCCTTTTAATGCTTTCCTTGAGTCTATATAAGAAGTAAGATAGAGCCGGATAGTTTTCTTGGCCTAGTGTTAACGTGAGACTTTTACAAGAATGACACCCAGCTCTGATGATGTCCATCATTTGATGGACGAAAGCTCAGCCCGTCTTCACCCGAAACGAGGGAGGAAGTCTCGTGGACTGCGTCAACCGGAACGTCGTATAAAAGCCAAACGGCTGCAGTACAACGCGATTCAGCCGTCCTCATGTGGTGACATGGACCAACGAATCTCTTCTTCATGCGCCTTCATACGAAATGAAAGTTCCCCCAACAATAGAAGATACTTGTTGACACTTCCCATGCAATCTCCGTCAAGTCATGTAGAAACGTTCGAACTTTTCGGCCGTCGTTTAGAGAACCAGGAAGCGCCTTATCAAGTGGAAACGACATTTGTCTTTGCCTCTACACGTGTCGGCCCTGCCTCTCGATTGCATAGTTTCTAATGCCCAGGTGAGTTTGAGCAGTCAAAATATCTCGGTTGAGAGAAACTTTTGTGATTCGTGGAACAGAGAAATCCATTGACATAGGCTTTGGATGTTTCAATTAATGCGCCAATTAGGGTGGATGGGATTCGCAAAATGGCCGCATCGGAAAGCGAATGAAGATTGCCTTGCCGTTGTGACTGTCCCGCCGTTTTGTCTCGTCCAAGTGAGAAACACTCCTCTTGGGAATTTCGTCAAAAACGTAGCTAAAACTGGTGATCGTCTCCGGTCCTGTCCATATCCTACAGCTACACTTTCTCATCTGAATAAGACATCGGATGATTTGATGGTCCAATTCATTATTCAGCTTGCATCCATTTCGAGTGAAAGTGTTTGGTGAAGGGATTCCAGGGTCGATCCCACCAGAAGGCGACGACAGATTCTTTTTCACCAGCTCTGATTTGCTTTACAGGAACATTCTTGTTGGCGCTGTTTCCAGGGCAATCGACATCGATTCCGGTGGAAAAATGTTAAACTTTCGTCCATCATATGACGGACCTCATCAGAGCATGGTATCATCCTTACGACTGTTTTTAAAGCTAACGAGTCAAAAAAACTCGCAGGTTCATTCCCAAATGTTGGATATATCTACTCAAAAACTAGACTCTTTGATGAAGCATAAAGTGATTTGGTTAGTTCAAGTCATATGCCAACCTCGAAGCACGTGAGTGCGCCTGTTGGTGTGTGTTGGTGTGCCTTTATGTGCTCGTGTATGTACGAAATAAGCAATGGTGCCTCAAAGTAAATTAGAACAGAAAAAGTAATGCCTTCTTTCGGCCATCAAGGCTCTATGGTTCTTTTAACGATGGCTCCAATTGCGCGAATTCGGGCACACGTCTGGTTATGCTTATGAGCTGCAAATCACCATGGATGCTAAAGCAGAGGACTCCGGACAAGGTGATTTGGACAAGTTCGTCATGACGATACGACAATGTGGCGAAAACCGAGTCGAATCACTTGCATACAACGAAAGGAGTCGGTAAACAAAATAGAGGCCAGAAGTGGGTTGACCTCGTTTTCACACCTTGGTACTGTTGTCAAGTCGACTTGGTAGAACGCACCTTGTCCGAACTCCTCTGCCAGATTAGTTTGCATATTTTCCAGCATCAGACTTTACCGGCGAAATGTCTGAGAATGTACAATGTCGACGGTCTGATGCTGGAACGTATGCTAACTACTCTGGCAGAGGACTTGGACAAGGTGCGTTCTACTAAGTCGACCTGACAACAAGACCAAGGTGTGAAAACGAGGTCAACCCACTTCTATAAATCGAAAGGAGACTGCGACGATACCGAGGACCA